TTGCTCTATATGTGTAATATGAAATGAATTGAATTCTGTCATCATGTATAACAAATCTGAATAAATAAATAAAATTAAAAATAAGTAAATAAATAAAATTGGAACTATACCCCAAAAACAATGCATTAGAGAATAAAAAAACAGTTACATGTAAACTAAAAAAACAACAACATTCTACTGTCATTCATAACTAAAAAGAACAAATTTTTAAAAATTAATAAAAATGAATAAAACTGTCAATAAATAAATAAATGTATGGAAATACACAGCTCCTCAAAAGTAATAGGCATGTCAATTCACAATAGCTAAACTATGGAATCAACCTAGATTCCCTTCAACAGATGAATGGGTAAAAGAAACTGTGGTATGTATACACAATGGAATATTACTCAGCCTTAAAGAAGAAAGGAATTATGGCATTTTCCAGTAAATGGATGAAACTAGAAAATATTATGCTAAACAAAATAAGCCAATCCCAAAGAACCAAAGGCCAATGTTTTCTCTGATATGCAGATGCTAATTCACAATAAGGTTGGGGGAAGGCCTGGGGTTGTGGCTCAGCGGTGGAGCGCTCCCCTAGCACATGCGGCGGTGGGGGGGTGCCCTGGGTTTGATCCTCAGCACCACGTAAAAATAAATAAACAAAATAAAGATATTGTGTCCAATTACAACTAAAAAATAAATATTAAAAAAAGGTGGGGGGAAGAATAGTGGTATTTTGGATTAGACAGAAGGGAGTGAAGGGAGGGGAGGGGACATGGGGGTAGTAATGATAGTAGAATGAATCATTATTACTCTATGTGCATATAAGATTACATGATTTGTGTAACTCTACATCATGTACAACCAGACAAATGAGAAGTTATACTCCATTTACATATAATGTGTCAATATGTATTCTACTGTCATGTATAACTAATTATAACAAATACAAATATTTAAAAATATAATGCAAAAAAATAATTGGTATAAATTGAATGCTATTCTGAGATAGTAAATGTTCTTGATGTCTGTTGACAGTGAAATTTTCATTATGTGTGGTTACTACTAATTGGTTTTGTTCTTCATGACCCTCACTCTCACCTACATTTTCCCATAATTTCCTTAGTTGTAAATAGTCAAGGTCAAAATTTCCATATTTTCTCTTTATCCCTTTTAAAAAATAAATCTTTTGTCTCTTGTTCTGGTGAAAATTGGTTGGTATATTGAAAAGTCATGTCATTTCCTTGTCTGTAATACAAACTGCCCCCAATTTTTCCTTGAAAGCTAGAATCTCAAACTCATTCATGCAGAGCAGAAGCTCCCAAAAGATATTCTGCAAGGGAAGGAAATTAAATATTGATAATTCATTAGAAATTCTGAAGGAAAGACACTCTCACCAAGGAAGACCAAGTTTCTATAGTTCTCTAACATCACGTCCCTAAACAAATACCACTGAGCAGGCTCCAGCCTTCCCAGTCCTCTTAAGAGAAATCAGTGACCATATTCCTCAGTGATAATAGTTTCAAATGATTTTGAGGACATATCCTCGTTTTCTGTAGCCATAGGGAAGAGAGATTTTCCTTATTTATTTTTCCTTTTAGAATTTCCAATGATAGGGCTGGGGTTGTGGCTCATTTTGGTAGAGCGCCTGCCTAGCACCTGTGAGGCACTGGGTTCCATCCATTTTCTGGTGCTCAGGAGGCAGGCCTGCTGTCCAGGGATCTTTAGTTCTAGCACATCAAAGCGAGCTGGGATTCCTAAGCCTGGGAGAGAAGCCTAGAGCCAGATGGTGGGAATGGCAGACTGCAAAGGGCCCTGGCCAGATGTGGGTTCACCTATCCTATTTATTAATAATGAGGAAGGGCCCCAGTCAGATTCAAGTTTGCCTATTTATTAATAAAAAGGAAGTGAGATTCATAAACATTAGGAAACAGCCAGAAGTTTCTTCCACAAACTGTCTTTAGAGGGGCATCAAGTACAGAAATCCTTTAAGTGATTGAATATGAGACCTAAGGGGAAATAAAATTTGAAAGCTAATGAATGTGAGTTATTCTGGAGACAGTGAAGGACTAGAAGAAAGGATCAAGGGGGGCCCTTAGGGAATCAGAGTGTAGTGATTGACAGGAGGCTTCAGCAGGGCTGGGGAAGAATGACGAAGCAGTCAGATGGATGCCCAGCACCAGTTCCAAGGAAGGAATGAATGGTCAACAGTATCTCCGGGAAGAGATATTGCTATGATCTGAATGAGTCGGACCTTATGATGAAATTTGTATGTTGAAACTTAATTGCAAATGTGATCATATATAGAGGTGGGTCCTTTAGGAGGTGACTGAATCATGAGGGTTCTAGGATTAGGGCCTTCATCAAAGGGCTTGAAGAAGGGGCTTTGTCACCTTTCATTCCTTTTGCCATGAAAGGATGCCGTGTTATGGTTTGGATATGAGGTGTCCCCCCAAAGCTCCTGTGCTAATGCAGGAATGCTCAGAGTTGGAATGATAATTATGAAAGTGTAACCTAATCTGTTCATCCTAGTTGGAATGGACTGGGTGGTAACTGTAGGCTGGCAGGATGTGGCTGGAGGAGGTGGGTCATTGGGAGTGTACCCTGGAAGGGCTCATGTTCCCTGAAGCCCCTCCCCTGTTCTCTCTGCTTCCCAGTTCTGGAGAGCTGAGCAGCTTTCCTCCCACACACCCTTCTGCCATCGTGTTCGGACACATCTTGGTCCCAGAGCAATGGAGTTCACCAACCATGGACTAAACTTCCCAACCAGGAGCCCAAGTAAACTTTCCCTTCTCTAAGTTGCTCTTGTCAGGTATTTTGATCACAGTGATGAAAAACTAACACAGGCAACAAGAATCCCTCATCAGATACTGAGAGATGGTGCCTTGATCTTGGACTGCCCAGGCTCTAGAATTATGAGACATAAGTTGCTGGTGTTTTTAAGTTACCATCTGTGGTATTTTGTTATAGCAATACAGATAAACAGAGACAGATATCAATCAAGATAAAGATAATGTTTTTTAAAAACGCAAGTTGTGGTTGTGTAGTTTCAAATCAAAGTTTGCCTCAAGTCTTTCTGGAAGCAGTTCTGTGTGACCAAATGACCTTTTGAAATTTGGAATGTGGGTAAATCTCAGTGTAACCACATTATGGTTTAATTTAGGTCTAGGGCTGGTGAAAGAGCTCATACCTGTCCTCAGTAAGGGACAAGTTCATACCTGAACAGTGAGGTCATCATCTCAGTCACTGTGATCAAGTGACTGGGGAACATGGGTAGCCCTGGGACAGGAAATGGAACCCAAGGGAGTAGGCTCAGGGTGGGAGTAAGGATTTAACCTTTGCCTTTTGAATGGTTTTAGAGAAGGAATCAAGATGAATAGAAATGGACTCATTAAGATGCACTAAAATGTGTACAAGGATGTTAATTGTAGCATTGCTTGTGATAGAGATTGGAAGCTACCCAAGAGTCACCAACTGCAGAGTGGACAAATAAATTGTGCTGTAGTCAATCAACAGACTTCTAAGTGGCAACTCTTTGGCTTCAGCTCCCAGACATTCACTGGTCATGCTACTCTGGGCATGACCAGTGAATGTCATGGGCAAGTCCTTTGAGGAAGAATAATAGGGAGAAAAAAAATGGATTTACAGGGGAGAGGAATGGGGAAAAGAGGAAGAAAATGATAAAATGAAAGAAGCAGGTGCCTTGCTCCATTGCCTCAAGGACCTAGGTTGTCTGCTTTCCTATTTGGAGCCTCCTCCTAGGTGCTCAGTTCTCCTCCTTACAAGCCTGCAGAGCTTCCTTCCCACTCTGGAGGGAGGGAGGATGTGGTGAAACTCAAAGTGGCTCTGAAAACAGACAGACCTGCCTTATATCACTAAGAGACTGGCAAACTTCTTTAGTTTGTCTGTCTGTCCCTTGGTTTTCTCACCTGCAAACCAGGGGAGCTAGGACTGGTGCATGACAAGTACTGGCACCTAGAAGACCCTGCAGAACTGGGATAAGATGCCTATCTTCCCTCAGGCCAGAGACCCTTGACGCTGTCCAACAGAACTTTCTAGACTGATGGCTACTGAATGGCACTTGAAATGGGTCTAATGCAACTGAGACTGAAATATTCATTTTATTCAATTTTTATTTTTATGTATTTGTTTAAAAATTGCAGTACTGGGAACTGAACACAGGGCCTCAGCATCCAAGGCCTTTCAGCATGCTGGGCAAGCGTTCTGCCACGGAACTAATCCCCAGATCCTTGCTTTACTTTTTTTTTTTTTTTAAATTTAAATTTGTTATATATAACAACCCTGTTTTACTTTTAAATAACTATCTATGGCAAATGTCTACCACACTGACTGGCACAATTGCTAGGGTGTTCGCTGGGTTGGGAGTGGCACGGTCCCCTGCCAGGCCATCGAGCAGGATGGCTCATTCTTGTGCACACTGCAAGGCGCCGGGTTCACTCTGCCTTTACACTGTGATTTCTTCCCTTAATAAACCAACCCTCTCTGAGTAAAGCCGGGTCTGGCGGGACTACAGCAATTAAGAGCTCAACCTACTTGTCTTCTTGCCTCCCACTCTTTCCAACACCCGATAGAGCCTCCCAGGGTCATGGGCTCCCTGATACTTTTTTTGCAGCGAGGCGGAGCATTTCCCCATCCGTTTCACCGACAAGGAAACTGAGGCTCGGGGAGGCTGTGGCAGATGGTGGGAAGTAGTGGCGCTCCAGTCTTAGCACAAACTCTTAGGAACTCTAGCTGCTCCAAAGACTGCCCGTGGGTCGGGTTGTCAGGGTGTGTGGGGAAAGCGGAGGGTAAATATTTGGGGCTGTAACCCGGGCTCCGGCCACAATTCGTCACTGCGGTCCACAGGCGGGCGCGTGGCGAGGGCGGTGCTTCGGGGACCGGGGCGTCCCCGAGGTCGGCAGGGACCGACCCCCGCGGCTCCGGCTTCCGCGGCCTCGCCCCGCCCCGCCCCGCCTCCGCCCGCGGCTATAAGACCGCGGGGCTGGCGGTGGCGGGAGCCTGAGACCGAGCGGACGCGGGCTGGGTTGGGAGCAGCTCGGTGGGATCCGAGCCTGACGGAGGGAGAGGCAGGGCGCGAGGGTGAACCCGGCAGCCGCTCCGATCTCAGCGCACAGTCCCCGGCTGGCACAGTCCCTCGCAGGGCCTCCCCGCCACGCGCGCCGTGCCGAGCCCAGCTGCCCCATGAAGCCTCCCGCAGCTCAGGGCAGCCCTGCGGCCGCCGCAGGTAAGTGTGGGGTCCTAGGCTCCCCTCAAAACCCAGCGGGGGGGTGGGGGTGGGCGAGAGAAGAGGAGTCCCTTTACGCCCCGCTCCCTTCCTTCGTCACCCGCGGGACCCTACCCACTGGTAACCGCGCGCGCGGGCGGATGCCGCTTAGCTCCTCGCGTAGGACTAGGGATCCGAGCCCGACACGTAACGGGCACCTCCTGACTCAGTCTTCCCACTGCCACCAGATTCGCACGCGCCCGGGTGGAGCGAGCGTAGGGACAGGCGCCCGACAGCGCGTGGGAAAGACTGTGGCTGTGTCGATTAGCTGGAGGACCTTAGGCTTTCAGCCTCGCTGGTGCAGGCTCAGTTTCCTAATCTATGCAACAGGCTGGCTAGCTGGAGGCACTTTGGAGAGTGGTTGAGGATTGAAAGAACTGCATGAACGTCACCTGAAAAAAGTGCAGTAAATGTTAGTTATCCTAGGGAGTCTAGCGGTCCCCTCCTGCCCCCAAGAGTAGCTAACCGCAGCCCCCATCAACTGAGCTGACCGTCCCTGACCCCAGGCCCAGCCATGGACTCCGCGGCTGCCGCAGACCTGACCGATGCGTTGTGCGAGTTTGACGCGGTGCTGGCTGACTTCACGTCGCCCTTCCACGAGCGCCACTTCCACTACGAGGAGCACCTGGAGCATATGAAGAGGCGCAGTAGCGCCAGCGTTAGTGACAGCAGCGGCTTCAGCGACTCAGAGAGTAAGTGTGACCCTTTGCTAGGACAGTGTCCCCGTGACTTCACTGCTCAGGCTTTAGCCTCAGTTTGCTTTATCTGTAAATAGACATGAGGGGGTCAGGGAACCGAGACCTAAGTTCCAGGAGTCCTGGAAAGTTGAGTCTTCAGGACTTGTAAGCCCAGCAGTGGTGGGACCCATGAAGGTAGTCGCGGAAGGCTTTTGAAGGACACGTTTACCTCTTGCCTACAGGTGTGTCATGAGCCCGTGGCAGGACTCCTGGGACCTCAGCCAGGCCTTTCCACAGTTTCCTCTCCTTCTCCTCCTTTCCATTTCTGACTCTTCTGAGCTATAACTTTTTAGAGTATATGGAACAAGAGTCACCTGAATGGTGGTGGTGGTGGGGGGGGGGGGTTGGGGTGGGGTCATGGGTGGACACAGTACTGAAACATTTGTGAAACCAGAGAAGATTTCATAAGCTGCTGTTCTTGGAATTTTTGAAATAACTTCTTGCCCTTTCTTCTGGCCCCGAGCTCCCAGACTTGTTGCTCCATTGTACGCAGTTTTGAAAGAATCTCTGGCACTGCAGAATTAAAGTACAAGGGTTTTAAGAGTGTCCCTCTTCCTTCAGGCGGTGGGTCACCCAGCCTGGAGGGGGAGCTAGAGAGTAATGTCATGGAGGGGATTCCTGGTAATCTTTCTTACAAAGGGGTCTGCCTCGGGACTTCTTTGTCCCAAAAAAATCTTGTAAAGAGACAGTTTTTATTTTTTTCCCCAGGAATTCAAATGCCCTGTATGATTATGGATATCTGTTTGGATGTCAGCAGATTTGGCAACTTTTTAATATTACATGATTGTTGATTTTCAAATCCTGGATTACTTTATTGTTTTTCAAAGTGAATTTAGAATTCGTCTGTTTATTCTTGACCCCTTAATCCCTAGATGGGTTGTAAGCATGAATGCCACTACCTTTGCTGCCTTTAATTCTGAGGGTAAAAGGAATGGCCTTATGATTCTCTTGTTTTGAAATCTGAAGCTTTCTCTTGTTATTGGGCAAAAGATTCATGCAAGACTTGCTCCTGAGCTATTGTCCTGACAAGGGATGTGGATCCTTATCACCCTGGTCGGGATCTGAGTCAGAAATCAGTTCCAGTTTCCTTGGCAGCCCTGCCAGAGAGTTAGAACAAGCTGTAACATTTGAGTAGAAAAGGGATGGAAAACTGTGCTCTTAATATTTCCTTAGAATTTTGGGGTTTTATTGCTAATGACCTGACTGCTCATTTTCAATGTCAAAGGGAAGTCTTCAAATTTTTGAACTTTTTCAATATCGATGGCCAGACTTAAACTTGTCTCCTTTTTATTGGGGCATGGAGCAAGTTCTTCAAATACAAATTCTTTCCTCCATGGAAGAAAGCCGCGATAGTCTTGTCATTCCTGCTCTGTGGCAAAGAGCAGCTCCTTTTAAAGCCATAGCGTCATTCTGCTAGAATACAACCTGAGCATGTCCATTCATGGCTACTCATACTTTCCACTAGGTGGGATTTCAGATCTTCATGCATTTTCAGGAGTCTCGGAGAATTAACTGACACACATTCTTAACAGTTTGGGGGGAGATACTTGGGATAGAACTTGTGGTTTTTTTTTTTAGGGTATATGTGTATATTTTCCTTTCTGCTTTTGTTGTTAACTGTTAACCTAACCCTTAGTTTGGTGGTTAGAGAGGTAATGGGAAGGGTCTAAAGAAGGCTCAAATGACATTCATCTTTGCTATAAATGTGTAGTTTGTTTCCCACAAGACTAGTTAGAAATAATCTTGGCAGGAGTTGTGTGTATCTAAATAGTAATTTCTTAAGGAAGCATAATATGTGTATTTTAATTGCTGCCAAGAATTGAGCACAGACATTTGTTATACTCATTTGTCTGTTTGATGTTTTTCTGAAGAAGAAAATGCAGGGGAGGTAGAGCCTATTGAAAATTAGCTTTCTGGAGGGGGACAACCAGGGTAATGAGAGTAACAACAGCTCGCTTTTGCCAAGCCCTTACTATCATTATTCTGATAATAATTTATTAGCTCTTGCTATTAGTGATCTCTTTTTTTAAAAAAAAAAAAAAACTTGCCCTCTTTAATGCTTAAAAAAACACTAAAATGCACATATGAGACTATATCATACAGATCAGAATCATTGGAACCAGTGTCTTTCATGAAAATGTTATGTATGAAGCTATAACCAGTGTTACCTGGTTTGTCCTCTACCTTTTACAACTCTGTTTCTCAGAGGGTGCAATAAAGGCACAAAGGAGATCAAAACAGGATTCCTGTTTCTTTGAAGAGCACTACTTCTTCCACCCAAAGAAGTAAGTTACTTAGGAAAGAAGGATGGATATTGAATGAGGACTACTCTTCCTGTTCCCACTTTCAGGGAGACCTCCTAAGACATGAAGGGGGCAAAATAAGATTGCAGAATAAAAATTCACATTAGGGATGGATTCAAATGGTAGTTGGTTAAAACAGGGTAGTATCTTTCCCACAGATTTGTATTCCAACATATATCACATACTTTACTGGGAGCATCTTTAACTTAAGCAGTAAAAGAGCAATCCAGCTGGGAGCTAGGGCAGTGTTTTTCAAACTTGACTCTTAGAGGTGCTTTAGAAGTTGTGAATATTTTTGTTTTAAATCTATCTATCTATCTATCTATCTATCTATCTATCTATCTATCTATCTATGTTGTAGTTTATGTTTTTAATGTGGTGCTGAGGATCAAACCCAGCACCCTGTACATGCTAGGTGAGCACTCTACTGCTGAGCCACAACCCCAGCCCCCATTTAAATTTATTTTTAAGAATATATATTTTTAGTATTTTAAAAATTATGAAAATACAATAGCATGATTTCTCCACTGTGTTTAATCAAAATTTTACTCATTATAGTCCACATTTTAACCAGTATGGTAATTTCTATTACCTGACTTTATAAAAAGTTTATAACATTATCCTAAACCTTAAAAGATGGTATGAATTTTTGTCCTTGAATGTTTTGGCGTTTTGCCTTTTTCCTTTGCAGGGGGTGGGGTGGGTGGTGGTGGTGGTGTGGGTGGAGATGTTTTGATACTTAATAGGGAAAGTCTGTGGTCTACTGTGTGTCCTCAGCTATAATGATATCATAGACCATATTTGGGAATAAGGAACTGGCTTCTTCAGCATGAGCAACATATACCAAATCTACATATCTTTGCCTAGACTATTCTGGTCTAGCCCTAGGTGAGGGAACATCTTGGGTTCTAGGGGACCAGAATGACAGCATATCATTTGATGTGATTTGGGAGCCACTGAGACTAGAACCTGGATTTATTGAAACCCTGAGTGGATAAAGCCAGGTAGGAAGCTTTCCGGATGTTTGGTACTGTGTTAGGAATTCTGGATGAGTGACAGATCTTACTCTGGCCAGGGTGGTGAAACTGAGTATAGGTGCTCTTTCTTATTGTATTCCACTGTAGTGAGGCTGTCAGAATCTAGATTTTGGGGAAGAGAGTCCCCACCCCACCTGTCTCTGCCATTCCCTGTGGGAACAGGGAAACAGATCCAAGGCTTTCTTTTTCTCAGTTAATTACTATAGTTTGCTTGCTGTAAACGTGTGGGATTGTTCTATATTTACAGGAGCTCTGGGCAAGGTTTACTGTCTGTGGTTTTACTTCCCTCTAGAGTAGCACATGTCAGTGCTAACCCTAAATTACCTTTCCCCCCCGCTGCCCTCCCCAACTAAAAAAAAACACGTCTACTTTTTAAACAAGTCTCTTGTTTTTGCCTGGAGTTTCTTAAATTCTGTTGGTGTACCTAAAGTTAATTTGGTTGTATATTTAATATGCTTTTACTTCTTTTGATGCTGTCTTAGAAAACCCAACCCCAGAATTTGAGTTCCCTGGCTTCGGTGCACTAAGAGAACCTGGCAAGGATATTTCCAGTAGGAGAGTTAAGATGATTGTGAGAGAACTTCAGAGCAGATTGAAGTAGATCTTACAGGCCCTCACATATTGAGCCATAAAACCTGCCAAGTTTCCCCAAATCATCCCACTATGGGTCCATGGAGCCTCTATTAATAGCACCTCCTGATACCAGGGTGGGGCATTAATACATGAATACACTATCAGCCAGGGACACATTGCTGTCACTTTATCAGACTAACTGGTTGATGTTTTGCAAGGAATAGAGTTCCAGGAAATGGGAAGTCAGGACTTGCTTACCACAACACCTACTATGAGATTACACATTATAAGTGTGTAATAAAAGTCTGTGGAAAGAAGTTTTATTGGGTAAAGGATGAAGAGAAGTCTAGAGTTTGGGGTCCCTCTGTGTAGGGGGTTTGTTCTTGGGCCCTTCTCGAGAGAAACTTAAGAATTTTGCTACCATCTAAAAAAGAGCAGGATCCAGGGTCCAGATATTGGTTTTCTTTTTTCTTACTTATGAGGACCTTTTCTCTCTTGGGTTTGCTATTTGCCATTTTTCTAGGAACTTTATTAAAATTACAGGCATCATATACAGGGCATCTGGCCTATAACTGCCCTTTTGCATGGTCTCTGTCCTATGAGATCTTTCCTTGGTGGCATGGCTTCGGGGCTCTTGGGGTTGCTTTTTTTCAAATGAATGGCAGATGTAGATTATTGCTATAGCTGCCATTTAGATGCAGGTTTGACTTAAGGATGCTGGGGCTTCATTTCCTCTTGATGGTTGAAGGTCGAACATCTCAGAATGTGGAGTTCGGTCAGCCCAGATGGTGTAAGGACATGGAAAGAGAGCAGGATGGCAATGAGCCAGTGAGGCGCGACCCTGCGTGTGTGTGTGTGTGTGTGTGTGTGTGTGTGTGTGTTGGTGGTGGTGGCAGGGGCAGGGAGCGGGGAAGCCAGCGCATGCTAAGCTGGCATGCCTGTATGTATGTATGTTTTTATATATAGTGATACTGTAAGTAGTATTTTGTGTCTCTCCCTCCCTTGTTGTTGCCCGTGTAGCATGAGTTCATTAACAAGAAGAGACAACTTCTGACCATTATAGGAGTTTGGCTTGTGACTGAATTTATCAGTCAAGTAAAAGTCTGGGAGTAGTTTTCTGAGTTTGAGGAATGTACTTGATGAAGGCATTTAGCATGTGGGTCAGGTTCTGAAGGAGCAAAGGCAAGGGCTGTCCTCTGAGATTATGGCTCTTCTGCTGTTTCCTAAGCCAGCTGGGTTAGTTGAACTTTTCCCAAATCCTCACTGGATACCCTTTTTCCTCCCTCCCGTTTTCTTTCTTTCTCCCCGCCTTCCCTCCCTCCCCTTCCCTCCCTCTTTTCCTCCTTCCCATTTTCTCTCCCCTCCGCCTCCCTCCCTCCCTTTCTCCCTTCTTTACTTACTTCTTTCCTTTTTATGATACAGGTGATTAAACCCAGGGTCACCTTATCACTGAGCTACATCCACAGCCCTTTTTATTTTGAGACAGAGTTTCCCTAAGTTGCTGAGGCTGGCCTCAAACTTGTGATTCTCTTGTCTCAGTCTCCTGAGTCTCTCAGTTGGGTGTATGTACCACTGCACCCAACTTGGATACCCATTTCCCCTACTATCCTTTTTTGCAATGTGCTTTTCTATGTTGAGATATTTTTCCTTCTACAAACATTTGCTAATGTTTGGTCTACTTGTCTGGAGAGCAGGAAAAAAAGTGATATTTTTCTCCTATCCCGAACATGAGTATATGAGGGTATAAAATTGCTGGAGATATTGGGCCTAACAGAGATGAAGTTCAAAGTCAGGGGAAGGGGCATACGGGGTGGAGTGAGGTGTGGTGATGAAGCTGACTCCCAAATGCCAGCTGTTCTGGGAGATAGAGACCAGAGAGGTGCCCTCTGAGCTCTGGGCCAGCAAGTCTTGGAGCTGGAACTTTGCCCAAGGACAGACATGACTTGCTTGATGTCTTTCAGAGCCAAGGGCCTCATATACCTTCCTCTGGTTTGTGACCTGACTCTGGGACTCTCTCTAGTTTTCTTACATCATCTCCTCCCCACAAGTGTCTCAGGCTCTATCTGTGGTAGTTCCCCTGGTTATTGCACAGTCACAGACAGTGATCCATAGGTCCAAAGTCAGCACAACCACTTTCCTTTGTGCAAGGGACTGCTTGAGAGGTGATAAACCAAGCTGAAGGGCTTCCCAAGTCAAGTTTTGGAGAATACCAGTGCCTGAGAAATATTAAGAAGAGGGCCACAGAAATATGTCCCTGTGTCAAGTGCACTTGGGAATAAGGCCCAAACTGGCTTCTTTATCACGAGACATCTCAGGAACGTTAAAAGTGGGAATGCCAAGGGTGCTAAGTGTTTCTATAACTTAGTTGATTATGCAGCTTCTTTTCAAAGGACTAACATTTTGAGGAGTAGATTTGGGGGCATATGTAGGTATAAGGTTGGGTGTTTGGATCTTGGTGTTCATCATCAAAGCCCTGAAAAATAATTGTGGTCCTATTAGGTGACCCAGGCTGGACCCCTGGAAGGAAGAAAAGATTGTGAGCACTGGTCACAAGGATATGCTGGGCATGTTTAGAAAAGTAGACGAGATAGGCATATAGGCCAGAAATAAAGAGAAGATAAGATGGCACCTGGGACTGGGAGAAGGTAGGAGAAGAGGGAGCCACATATCTGGGAAGGTGTAGCAGCCTTTTAGGGCTGAAGCTGAACTCTCTCAGAACCAGAAACCTCTTTCTGCAACCTGATTCTTTTAAACTTGGATATCCTTTTTAATGTAGTCAAGTTCATATTTTAGTTAAAGGAACCAAAAGGCAAGATGTTTTTGCCTCCCCCTGAGCTGGAGGGAACTGGCTTCAAGTGAAGGAAGCCCAAGGAGGAGTAGGAGCCTGCCAGACCCTTGTTATTCAGCTTCCCTGACTCACCTGAAGAACTTTCCAGAGCTCATCTCTCCTACCACCTCGGCTGGCTTTGTGTGCTCTTTTACCCAGAAAGGCTGTTCCATCGCCACCTCAGCAGCCACATCCTGCTTCCGCTGGCGGCTCTGCCTTTGAGCCCTTTGCCTTGGTGCTGCTCCCTTTCTCTTCACCACCCCACAGCTGGGCTAGCTATGGTTTGATTTCCTCTACCTTGGGTAGGACTCAGAGACGAAGAATCTCAGAACTTCAGAGCAGGGAGGGTCTTTAAGGATTCTTTAGCCCACATTTCTGTTTTATTGCTGGGTACACTGAGGCCCAGAGATACTGCCTTGCTCAAGGGAACTTGAGTGCTCAGTAGCTAAGCTGCTTTGAGTCCTTCTGCAGTCCAGCCCTGGCTCTGGGTCCTTGCCTTGCTGTTGTGCTAGTCTCTGGGGTTATAAGAATAGAAGGAGCTATGAAATCCCTTGCATGTCTGTAGTAGGTAGCCCACCAGGAATAGAAGCCTCCTCTTCTTCTTTTTTATTGTTATAGTGCATTATAATTATACATAGTAATAGAATTTGTTGTTTCCTGTTTACAGATGCCCCCTATATTAACAACATAATTTGGCCAATTTCACAGGAACAGAAATCTGTATCTTTGACTCTACTTGTTTCTAGAGTGCAGAATCTTGGGGAAATCCACAACAAAGACTCTCAATAGCAGTGCAGAGGATTATTAAGCCATAGGATCCACCTTTGTTTGTATCTTAGGGGGTTCCGAGAGCAGGGGGACATTTTTCATGGAAGATGATTCCTTATTTCTAACATGCCAAACCAACCCCCCCCCCACCCACCCATCAGTCAAGCACTGGCTTGACCACTGGGTCTGACACCTGTTCAGTAGGCTCTTGGGTGCTAGCCAAGGTCTGGTCCTACTGATCCCCTTACACTTTGGTCTGTTTGACTAGAAACACACACATACACTCACCTGCCCCAAATCATTTCAGGGCATGAATGTAAGATCTCAAAATCTACCTGATTTTTTTTACTAGCTTTGCAACTTTCAGAGCTAAACGATTGTTTATGAGTAATTAACAGACTAATGGGTCTACAGCTGAGTGCTATTTCTAATGAGTATGTTTTCTTTTCTGGAAGGTGCAGATTCACTTTATAGGAATAGTTTCAGCTTCAGTGATGAAAAGCTGAATTCTCCAACAGAGGCCACCCCAGCTCTGCTCTCATCCACTGTTGCTCCTCGGAAAGGTAAGCTCACTGGTTGGAGTGTGAGCTTTTCTGCTTTTAATTTTCCTTCCCTTCCCAATCCTTCTCTTTTCCTCTTGTTCCTAACCAATCTTTTCCAAATATGAAAAACAAATAGATAAGACTAATATCAGTATGGTAGAGTGTGAACTGGAATTTGTAATTCCTCAGGGTTTTGATCTGTGTGAGGACAAGAGTAAATAATTTGGGGTAGACAACCTGCATTCATGGGGGAAAAGATGACTTGTAGATTCCAGGCTGTTCTTTCTCATTGTAAACATGACTGTGCCAAGATGATAGTGCTTCTTTCTGTTCTCCTCCCAAGCTACTTGGTTCTAGAATTTAAAAATAAGCAATTTGGCTTTGCAGAAAGGATTTTTTTTTAGTGTATTAACTATTTAACCAAAGCTTTCACATGACCAATTTAGTAATTAATTTATGTCATCATTATGAGACAAGAAGTGGCCTAACATGATCCAGAATAGCAGCTCCAGCCTGTCTCTACTGTGATATTAATAGATCTAAACAGTTTTTAAAGATGCATGAGCAGTTTCTTAATTTTGGGAATTGACAGAGTGTCTCCAACTGGAGAGCTGAATGTTCTGTTATACTGGACAAGCGCCCTTTTGAAAACAAAAGAAGTTTTCTTCCCCCCACTAAGGAAAGTTATACTTGCTGAAAATAGTTGCAGAATGTAATAAAAATGAAACATATTTTAAAAGAAATATGAAGATTCCATCACTTTTCTCAATCTGGCACTGGCAGAACTTCTCTTTTTTCTGAAGGAGATATTTTTAAAATTCCCTTCTCAACACCGCAATCCTAGCAGCCACTGGGGATTCGGCCACAGTTCAGCTCTCTGTCTATAATGGATCTGTGGAATTCAGAGACAGAGCAGTCTAGAAAGTAGCTTAAACAGTGTCCATATTTTGCTACCTGATCCTCTAGAGATAGGAATTAAAGCTGGGGAGGGGGAGCCTCTATTGGCAAACGGACTTGAAAAGTGAAAAACAATAAGCTGGTTGTAGCCAGTGGAGGATAATAAAAATACCCAGTAATGCATTTTAGGGAAAGCACCAAGGGTAAATTCCACAGAAAAAATTAAAACATACAGAGAAAATACACATCTCAGGTTATTGAGAGATCAAAATCTAGATAAAGACTGTTACTTCTTGCTGGCACCACCATAGGACAAGGCTTCCTGGGCCCAGTCGCCTCACATCTCCTTCCCTGTGCCACTTAGAGGAGGAGCAGTGTAGTTCTTTATTCATTTTGTGCTGGAGGGGCTCTGAGGGCTGCAGTACTGCCCTGGGGTGATAGGACAAGCAAGAATGCATCTGAAGGCGGGAGCCACAGGAATTACAGAATGTGGGGCTCCATTCCACACAGTGCCATGCTTGCTATTTTTGATCGATAACTCAGATCCTTATCAAGCAAAAAGTCAAAATATTTTGTTTTTCTTCCTTTCCCTCCTTTTCCTCCAAACTTTTAAGACAACAAAAGTGAGAGTCTTCTTCCAGCTTTAGGAGGGTGCAGGATGAGGGTGGTGGGAGAGCAGGTGATGAACTAAAAAGGAAATATTGAGGCTAGTCTTTAGCATTGGTTTCTGAGTTTACCATGAGTAAAGGTTGGAGCAGACACTTAGGACTGGTGACAGGACATGCTTCAGTAAAGTCTCTGAAGATACATGTAAAATGGAAATAATCCCTCACATAATGCTGGAAAACTCCAATGTGGGGTCATCAGCTGTCTCTGATGGGGAAACTGAACTCTCTCTCTTATTTTACAGCCAAATTAGGAGACACAAAAGAGCTAGAAGACTTTATTGCTGATCTTGACAGAACATTAGCAAGTAAGTACATGTCTGGCAATTAAAAAAAAAAAAATCAGAAAACTAGCCGACCCCTTTGATAAAGTGCTGTAATGTCAACCAGCTTGCCTCGGGGCATGAGATTACATCATAAGGCTTCTTTAGGTTTCGAAATAGGACCCTAGTGGCTTGGAAAGAAATTCTGAGGATAAGCTTGTATTAAAGTAGACCACATTCCTTTCTAAACTGTGAGGACAGGTCCCTGGCGAACAATGGTGTTTTGTTTGGGGAAATAGAGGGTAAGCAAGACTGGAGTTTTACCTTCCTGATGGCTTGTCAGGTTCCTTAGAGAAGGAGAGCTGGTGGATCACATAAGCATTAAGCAGCAAACCAGAGAGTTCCATCCCAGGGAACCCTCTGGCTAATTTTCCCAGGTTAGATCCAGGAAACTTGGTGAGATCTGACTTTTAAGACTTAGGTGCCAAAGAAAGAATTGACGGTGTGGGGGGACCCATACCAATTACTGAATAACCTGGATTAAGGATGCAGTACTTGTTTCCCATTTTGGAATCATACTAGTGGTAACCCAATTTGTGTGACCAAAGTTATTGGCAACTGAAGATATTAGATCATTAACAACAGTGGTGGTTGTGGGCTCTAGGGAAAGAATCCTTATAATCTATCCATATACCCTACTTAAAAAGGACAAGATTGGCCAGGCATCTTGGTGCATGCCTGTAATCCCAGCAGCTTGGGAGGCTGAGGCAGGAGGATCGAGAATTCAAAGCCAGCCTCAGCAAAAGTGAGTTGCTAAGCAACTCAGTGAGACCCTGTCTCTAAATAAAATACAAAAGAGGGCTGGGGATGTGGCTTAGTGGTCGAGTGCCCCTGAGTTCAATGCCCAGTAAACCACCCCACACCGAAAAGGGGGACAAGATTGTAAGACTCAGGAGGACCAACTCCAGCCTCCAGGATGAAATTTGTCCCAGCTCCTCCATTTTTTGGTGAAAGGGTTACTTTTCCATAAAAAGAATTCTGTGCAACCAAGTAAAATGTGAAAAATTAGATCCCAAACTATTTTAAAATAGCTCTGTTCTTAATACTCTTTTAGAAAGATGGAAACATCAGGTAGAAGGTCTTTGCATCATCTCTATTTACTTGAAGATTTTATTGCTCCTTTTCTTACATGCTGCTACACCCTATATCAGAAGACCTAGGCCTGTTTTGACAAGAGACTATTCTAACTGCAGCACAATTTGTATGAGACCTATGTAACAGGCCTGTCTACCTCATGGAAATTGCAGTTGGCCGCCCAGTCATTCCAGTTAATCAGACACACATTACGTGGGAAGCCTGCCATTAAGTTTGATGCTTTGATGCCTGTCTGAGACTGTGTGATGTGGTTAAGCATAGGAATCATGAACTTCTGTGAGTGACTGACCTTCTTTATATCCTGTTTACAGGTATGTGAAACGAGGAGTTCCAGGTCCTTTTATTACAAGAGAGAAGCTTCAGAAAGCTCCGAGGACTTGGTAAAATCAGCTACTAGAATATGCTGCCAGAGGCGATAGAGATGGACGCTCACCTACCACCAGGCCATTCTTAGACTCACTTTCAAATTAGCCCGTGGGCCCGTCTCTGGGCAATTTAGACAGTGAAACTGACTTTGTTGACCTGCCTGCAGCTTATTAGAACAGGTGATCTATGCTAATGTATTTTTCTCTTAAAACACAGCTTTCTTGTAATTTAAAGTGCTTTTATGAAAATATTTGTAATTAATTATATATAGTTGAAAATAGTAAAATGCTCTCCCCATTATAATATATTTTTGTATGCAAATAAAATTTGAACTGGAGTCTATAGTTTGTAAGCTTCCCTTCTCTTTATTTCTCTCCCTGTGTTTCCATTCAGTAATACTCTAGCAGGAACAAAAAAATCAGCACATAAGATTATATATACCACATACTATGCTATTCTTTTTGGGGGGGTGGTACCGAGAATTAAACTCAGGGGTATTCCTCAGACCTATTTTGTATTATATTTAGAGACAGGATCTCACTGAGTTGCTTAGTTCCTTGCCATTGCTGAGGCTGGCTTTGAATTCGAGATCTTCCTGCCTCAGCTGAGCTGCTAGGATTACTGTCATGTGCTGCTGCGCCCAGCTATAAATTGCACTCTCTTTAGCCTCTTTCTTCTCCTCAAGCTTCTGGGAAAGGTTTTATGTTGAAAGCAAATATTTATTTCTTTTTGAAGTTGAGATATTTTTATGGTTTGGGTACGAGGTGTCCCCTAAAAGATCGTGTTTTAATGCAGGAGTATTCAGAGGTGAAGTGCTTAGACTATGAGAGCTGTAACCTAATCTGTCCATCCTAGTTTGAATGGATTAACTGGGTAGTAACTGTAGGCAGGTGGGACATGGCTGGAGGAGGTGGGTCACTGGAGGCATGCCCTGCATCCCTTTCCCCTTCCCTCTCTGTGCTTCTGCTGCTGCTGTCCTTGCTCCACGATGTTCTGCCTCACCTTGGGCCCAGAGCAGGGGAGGTACTGACCATGGACTAAACCTTTGAAACTGTGAGCCCCTAATAAACTTTTCCTCCTTTAAGTTGTTCTTATCAGTTGTTCTTATCATTTTGGTCACAGTGACACAGTGCTGACTAACACAGAGATAATTCCCATTTTGTAACATGCAATTCAATGGATTTCAGTATATTCAAAGATATTGTAAACATCACCACTATCTAAATCTCTGCCTCTATGGATTTATATAGTCTGGAATTTCATATAAATGAAATATATGATGTTTTGTATCTAGTTTCTTTCACTTAGCATAATATTTTTAAAGTTCATCTATGTTGTCGCATGAATCAGTACTTTAATCCCTTCTATGGTCCAGTAATATGTTCTTGTGTGGATATGCCACCTTTTGTTTATGAATCCATTGGTTAACGGACATTTGAATTAGTTCTACTTTTTGGCTAATGCATATACATGTGAAAGTATTTGTATGAATGTATGTTGTCATTTCTCTTTATTTTTTCATTTCACTAGGGGTTGAACCCAGGGACATTTAACCACTGAGCTTCATTCCCAGCCCTTTTAAAATTTTTTATTTCAAGACAGAGTCTTGCTAAGTTGTGTAGGCCCTTCACTAAATTGTTGAGGCTGGCCTTGAGCTTGTGATCCTCCTGCCTCAGCCTCCTGAGTCACTGGGAATACAGGCATGCACCACCATGCCTGGCCTTGTCATTTCTCTTGAGTGTATCACTAGAAGTGGAATTCCTGGGTCATGTGTTAACTATATGTTTAACTTCTTGAGAAATTACCAAACGTTTTCAAAGCAGCTGCACATTCCCATTGGGTTGCATGCAGGTTTCAACTTCTCCACGTTCTCATCAACACTTGTAATTCTCTCTTTTTGAATATTGCCATCCTAGTGAGTGTGAAGTAGTACCTCATTATAGCTTTGTTTTGTATTTACTTTGTTTTACATTTTTCATGACAAAAGATGTCTTTATGTGTTTATTGGCCATTGTCATATCTCTTTGGAGACATATCTATTCAAATCCTTTGTCTGTTTTTAAAAATTGGACTCTGTTTTTTATGTCAAGTTACAGGAATTTCAATGTATTCTGGATACAAGCTCCTTATTGGGTATATGATTTACAGATATTTTCTTCAATTTTGTGTATTGTCTATTCACTTTTTTGTCCTTTGAAGCTTAAAAGTTTTATATTTTGAAGAAACCCATTTTATTTTTTTTCTGTTTGTTTCTTGTGGTATTGATGTCATAGCTAAGACATTGTTGTCTAATCTAAGATCACAGTTACCAGTATGCTTTCTTTTTAATAATTTTACTCCTGAAAGAATAGTTTTAGCTTTTAACATTTATGTCAGTGACATACTTTGAGTTAATTTTAGTATGTGATGTAGGACATAGGAGTCCAACTTCATTCTTTTGTGTGTGAATATCCAGTTGTCACAAAATAGCACTATTATTGAAAAGTCAATTTTTTTTCCCGTTGAATCATGTTGGTACCCTTGTGGAAAATCAAGTAGCCATAAATATATAGTTTTTTTAAAATGTATCTTCAATTCCATTCCACTGTTCTACATAACTATCCTTATTGTATTACTACATAGTCTTGATTATTATAGCTTTATAGTAAGTTTGAAATTCAAATGTGTGAATTGTATCCTTCTTTTGGTTGGTATGGGTCCCTTGCATTCCTTTAAAAATTTAGTATTACCTTGTTAATTTCTGCAAAAAAAGGCAGATGGGAGTTTTGTAGATTGTATTGAATTTATAGATTACTCAGTGGAGAGTTGACCTCTTAATGACGTTAGTCTCCTTTGCAGTTTTTAAACATAAAATATCTTTAAATTTGTTTTCTTTAATTTCTTTTGATCCTGTTTTGTAGTTTTCACAGTACAAATTTTGCCTGCCTTTCACTAAATTTCTTTATAAGTATTTTATTCATTTTGATGCTATTGTAAATAGAATGTTTTTCTTATTTTATTTCTAGGTTTCATTGCTAGCATATCGAAATACCATTGATTTTTGATATTGATCTTGTGTCTTGAAACCTTGCTATACTTGTTAATTATATCTAATAGTTTATGTGTGTGTAATTCTATATTACTTGCAAATAGAAATGTTTTACTTCTTCTTGCATATGCTGAATGCTAACCTCTTGTTTAGAACTTCCAGTATAATGTTGAAAAGAAATGGTGAGAGGACACCATCCTCATTTTGTCCCTGGTCTAAGAGAATAAGTTTCTTTCAGTATTTTTCATTAAGTATAATATTAGTTGTGGGATCTTTTTAAAAAAATCGAATGAACCCTTGAGTTGTTTTCTAAGCTTGATTTTTCCATTACCTGGATCTGGCACTTGTTCATGCATCAGAGCCTTGATTCCCTTTGGATAATTTTTTTTTTTTCAATCAGGACACAAGTGGCTATTATTTTCACTGTAACTTTTATTACTGGCCTCTTTTGGAATTGAAGATCTAACTTAATTTGGCAGCTCTTTCTGTATGGGCTCCTGGGATCTGTATTCCCAAAGTTAGAAATGTAGTATGTGAAGTTTTATAAGGAAAGGAAATGGATTCTTTTTATAAGTGTGTGGGAAGGGCAGTTTGTGCTCCATAAACCCCTGTTGGATAATGACTTAGGGACAAGTGGGCTGTGGACTGAGTCACAACTTGGGGTTCTGGGAATGCCAAAAAAAAAAGTGTTTTAGAATTTCTCAAGATGTGTTTCAAGGATTATAGTCCTAACCTGTTTTGAAAAATAAGGATTAAGTTATTAAGGTATTAAGGTCATATACTTGAAAATGCTGTATGCTACATATTCCACTTAAATTTATTATGCATATTATTGTATAAGTTACTTAGGAGTCAGTCTAAGTTGCTGGATCAGAGAACCAAACAGGGTGGCTTGAAAAAGAGGGAAGTTTCTTTCTCCTTAGCATTCCCGAAATGAGTGGTACAGTGTTGGGAGGGTGGCTTTCTTATCCAAAGTGACTGCTCCTGATCTTATCACATTTACAGCCCAGCAATCAGAAAGGAGGAAAATCAAGTCAAGCTCAGGCCTGTTTCTTTCAACGACATGAGTAGAAGGCACAGTCACTTCTGCTCACTTCCCTGTGTTCAAGTCTTAATCAAATGGTCATTCCAAGCTGTGGGGGAGGCTGGGGAAGAGTTTCAGCTGAGCAGTTATTTGCTTAGCTAAAATTCGAGAATTCCATTATTTAAGAAAGATGAAGAGAATGGGTATTGGAGGGCATCTAGTCATCTTTTCTGTGGCACATTGAAACTTGGAAGTATCCTGCAGCTAAGAGACCTAGCTTTTGTCTTCTTTTTCTTTCTTTCTTTTTTTTTTTGAAAAGCTGTCAATAATCCACAGCATTTTGGTGTTCCTTGGAACACCCCATGGGAAGTGCTATCACAGGTAACCTCATTCTTATGGGATCTATTGTACCCCACCTTCTCCAAGAGGATGGCTCTTGCAAACAGTTCAATTGCTACCTGGAGAATGTCAGCCAGCAGGCTTTTGGGAACAGAACGAGACTGGATATTACGAGGACAAAGCTGACATGTTTTTGACTGGGAATTTTCTAACTTCTAGGAGGAATAGCTAAAGCAAAACAAAAAACACTTCACACAAGTAAGAGGATCTAGTGTAGCCCAAAGAATCACAGGCCTGCCAGCCTCTGGACTGAGGCAGAGGAACCAACAGGAACCACCCACTTCATGTTGAGGTGAGCTACATCCTGCCTACCCCCAGGTGTGAGAAGGCTCATCTGAGTGGAGGGGCCAGAAGTGGTGATGGTCATCAGTCAAGATTGGGGACACTGAGGAAGTTTCTCCACAGAAATATCCCTCTAGGTGTGGGATGGGGGAGGGGGAGACATGGAGAACCCATTGTTCCTTGTCTGATGGGCCTTCACGCCAGATCAGTTTCAAATCTCAGCTTGACCACACACAGTACCTTGGACAGGATTTAAAACGATTTTTTTTTTTTTAAAGATGTGGATGGACACAATGCCTTTCATATATTTATTTATGTGGTGCTGAGCCTTGAACCCAGTGCCTCACACATGGTAGGCAAGCACAAAACCACTAAGCCACAACCCCAGCCCCTGGACAGGATTTTTAAACCTCTTAGCAGCTCTGCTTTTTCATTTGTAAAGTGGGGGTGTGAGTCCCTATCTTCCAAGATCATAGCCAAAATGAAATATAGAATATGAAAAGTGTTTGGTGCTCTTTCTCTTCTTCAAATCACAAGAACACTGGGCTGGGCTCTTGCACCCAAGGTAAAAGGAAGCTCTACTTACTGTGGTTGCTGAGGGCAGTTCTAACCCCACTGCTCCTTGTCTGATAGAAGAAAGCAGCAAATCTGGTCTAATGAGACCAGAGAACACAGACAAAGGCCAGGAGACTGGTTGAAGTCCCAACCCCACCAGTGACAAATCCCTTCTCCTCTCTGGGCCTCACATTCCTCTGGGTAAGCACAGGAGTGAGGCTAATCCTCCCTTCCTCAAACTTGCCTCTCTCTCCTGAAAAACAGATGGAATTTTTCTTGTTTTTTTGGTTGTGTGTTCCTTCCACACCCATATCCAAAATGTTTTCCTGTGTTAATTTATTTGGCTAAGAATGCTGGTAGTGAGAGACACTGAACAGGAAATGGCTGTCATAGCTGCTGTCTGCAAGTTTTGTTTTTTTTAAGGTTTTCTCCTGCACAGCTCACCTTCTCTGGGCGGCTTGGTATTACGTGCAAGAGTAAGTGGAAGGGGAAAGGGAAAGGGAAGCACATTTTTAGAAGAGAACATTTTCCTTCAAGTTCAAAGTTTACTGAAGGTCAAGGAATATGACTATCCACAATGGCAATAAAGGTGGCTGCTTTCCACCATAGGGCCTTTGTACTCGCAGTTCCCTTTGCCTAGAATGCCTTCTCTGTTCTGTTTTTCTAGTTAATTCTACTTCCCTGGAATCAGCTCAAGTACCACTTGTTTGAAAAGGCTTTCTCACCCCTGACCCCCCAATCTAGGTTGGCTCATCAATGCTATGTACTTGAGGAACTTTCCTTAAGTGTACTTGTCTCGGTTTGGAATGAAATGCTTGTGTAGTTTGCAATAAAATGTCCATTAGCATAATTTTTTGGGTAACGTCTCCCCAGCTTCCTGTAATTGGATCATAAGCTTCACAAGAGCGACGATCTTAGCTTCTCTGGCTTGTCTGGCCACCAAATCCCAAGTGACTACTGTTGTGCTGGGCACATGTTCACACTCAGTCCATACCCACTGAATGAATGACCAAAATTCCCACCTTTTCCGCAGCCCCAGCAGGCTGGCATGCCACAGTGCCTGTGGGGTGCTTGTTGGCCTTGTCCCAACCTCACTGGCCCACGCTTCTCATGTAGATCTTTACTGCTTTGCCTTTCCCATCCTGCCACAGCATATGAAATTGACCAAGGGCCAACACTGGTGCTGAGGTCCACCACAATCCCTTTTCCAGCTACTTACCATTGACAGGAGAAGACTAAGAGAATTTCAGGGCCACAAGGAATGCATCCCTAATGGTAGAACTTTAGATATCCTGAGTGGTAGTGGGGAAAGAGATGGACCTTGATCCTAGTGAAATTTTAATGTCCTTTTCTAGGACTCAAAGACACCAGAGTCAGAAAATTTTTCTTAGTCTCACTGTAGACAAATACTGTATAAGCACTTGTGTGTATGTGTATGTGCACCTGGTTTTACATGCACAGGTGTGCCCACATGTGCATGCATGTGTGTGTGTGTGTGTGCACGCGCGCGCATGCATGTGTGTACATGTGATGCAGTAGAAGTAAGTAATAGGAGACAAAATCATGGGCGCTGATTTAGATGACCATAGAAGAAGTCAGGGTCCTGATCGTCTGGTATTGGGCAACTCACCAGACTCTCCTGTGAGTAATGTGACAGTCCATTCTGCCCCTAGGGCCTGGCTCTGCCCTCCTGCTGCTGGGCTTGCCTTTGCTTGTCAATGTTACAGAGCAAGATTATATTCCTACTTGGGGTTTCATACATCTCATGGAAAGGGCCCAGTCCCATGTGCTCCCAAGAGGTGTGTGACCTGTTGTCCTAGGCTCACAGCCAAAGCCTATTCTGGAACCAGAAGAATCAGGGCTTGGCTGTAAATCTGAGCCAAAGGAAGCCCCCACCTAGCCAAGAACAGGCCTAGGAGGGGCAGGACCAGAATGTGACTGCTGTTTGTCAAGGGTGTCTTGAGGGTGAGCCATGTAGCTGCAGGAGGGAGGACCTGGAGCCCTGGGTGGGGAAGGGAGCAGCAGAGAGTTACCAGCCATTTGGGAAGGGATTCTGAGCGAGGAGCTTGCCCCTGTTTAGGAAAGTGGGAGTGTAAAGAAGTTCCTGGGATAACTCCGCATCTAGAGGGAATTTGGGAAACAGGATGAGTTACCCAGTGAGGTTTCAGGGAGGTAAGTAGATTTGAAGAAAAGGAAATTGTCAACCTAAAGGGGAATGGGGAAGAGTGTCAGTCTCCAAAGAATACTGATATTTATTTGGGAAATAGCAGAGCTTCCAATGGGAATATGCATGTCACAATAAACTATGTGCATATTCTAGAAAGTTGAGGCAAGGGAAAGTTGTTTTTTTTTTATTTACTAGTTATGGTTGCACACAATACCTTTATTTATATGTGGTGCTGAGGATCGAACCCAGGGCCCCGCACATGCTAGGTGAGTGTTCTACCACTGCGCCACAACCCCAGCCCCAAGGGGAAGTTTTTAAAGACAAAAATAAGAAGAATTCTATCAGATACTTTGACACAATAATCCTTGACTACAGTGATTAATAGCAAGAAGGACATCAGTCTGAGGCTAGATAGCTACTAGGCAGATGTCCCTGGAGAGGTACTTTTTGTATAAGGTGTGTTGGTCTCTGCAAGCTTGTGGTCTGACAATTTTTTGTGAGAGTTACTATCAGGTAATCATAAGTGACAACCCTTCCTTCATAACCTCCTGGCCTTATTTACTTTTTTGGGGAGGTAAGGTTGACACGAGAACTTTTTGATTTTGATTTTGACAACATTCATATTTCTTTTCCCAAACTTAAAGCAAAATGAAGTTGAGGGTCATTCTGGAAGTTGGTTTGGAAGCACCTTTTCCAAATGCAAGAGTTGCTGTCATCTGATCCTCCTCTGACTGGCTATATTTCCTTGAGCTGGTCCATAAAAAAAAGTTCATCTAGTCAAGCTGCCTCACTTTAGAGACAAGAAAACTGACACCGTGGGGCCCAAAGGATTAAATGACCAAACAGTATGTCCCTTAGGGGGGGGAAGAATTCAGGAAGGTGAAATCAGGGATATAAATGTGTCACAGGAGAAATGAGCTCCACAGACCCAAAATATAATTGATGAGAACAATCTCCATGATCTAGGACTGACAGAGTGGTTAGCTGTGTCCAGAAGGACATTTGCTTGCCAGTGGCTTGGGAGCAGATAAGAGGGGTTGGGTAAGGCGGGTGGCAGGGGAGTGCCAATCCACAGACAAGAAAAACATTGGGGGAGGGAGGTCACCTTGATCCAAGGAAGCCCATTGTGCTAAGATTAGAGCCGCCCTAGAGGGGTTACAAAACAGGTCAGGGCCATGACCTTTGGGTCCCAAAGTACAAGGGAAAATGAAATCTAGATCTCCTTGGCAGGTTGCTCAGTAGAGTTTTCCAAACCCAGCCAAACTGCTCACAATGGCATAATCTGTGATCCTGAGATTCTAAGGCAGGAAACTCTCCTGCATGTGAACACTGCCTTTTCAATCCACCTTGTCCTGAGATCTAGAATTTGTCTCCTGCTGTATCAAGACCTATTTTTAAAGACAAAACTCTTCCCCTGGGAGAAAAAAAAAGAGACAGATGCCTTAAGTCCGGAAGGTCAGATTAGCATTTCCTCCTGATAAGTGAGACTCTGCAATTGACAATCACTACTTTATTTCTCTTAAGATGACAGACACCTGACCTGTTTCTTTCCTTGGAGCGCAGATACTTGCTTTCTGAGTCTCCTGAACAATGCAGGAGACCTAGGGAATGTGCAAAGAGCTGGGTTTATATAGTCTGAGGAATAAAAGACCTAATGGCAATTTAATGCAACTCAATGTCACCTGCTTTCCTCATTGCCAGGGGTGGAGCAAGGGATCCCATGGTTAAATGACAGCACAAGACGTCTCAGTTGTACACTCTTGTCTGGTGGGGAGTACACAGAGGGTCTGAAGTTTTCTTTCTCCTGCAGCTTTTTCATTTTTAAAGGATAAGGTATTATTTGCCTAAGTGGTATCAGGAAGACCCTTTCTGAGGGCAGGGGTTGGGCCTGTAACACCATAAGCCTTTTTCCTGTGGTTGATCTTCCTGGTCTCTGTTCTTCCCTGTGGGCTTTTCAAGCTGTTGCATTTCAGTGAATCAAATGCCTCTTGCACAGCAAACAGTGCACAGAGTCTGCAGGGCAGGCTGAAGAGGAGCACATGGCCAGGGCACACCAAAGTCACTATTTCAACAACATCCTTCCATACTGTAGGATGAAGTGATTCTCACATGACATGCGCCCTTTCTAGGGCATCACGGAAGCCTCAGAAGTCATTCTGGAGTTTCTGAGGGCAAAGACATCCTGTTTGGGGATTTAAGTCTAGCAGTTAAAGAGCATGAAGTCATCTTCCGTGCACAGTTTAAAAAGGATGTTTCTGTGAATGTGACACGGAGGCAATCCACTGCAG